TAAATAATGTAATCACAATGTAAGCAAGATACAAGATACATCATTGCGGTTAACTTTTTGCTGTTTTGCAAACTTTGCAAAATTGTCATGCTTAAACAAAAATATTAAAAGCTACATAATCTGACAGCAGAAACAATGGTTAAAAGAAATATATCTATTAAAACTAATTTCAAGCCATCTGGGTAGGGGGCAGTGTAGGGGTGCAGTGGTTAGTACTGTTATCTCACACCTCTAGGACCAGGGTTCAACTCTCCATGAATGGTTCTGTGTGTGGAGTTTGCATGTTCTCCCCGTGTCCTTGTGGGGTTTCCTCCAGGTACTCTGGTTTCCCCCCACAGTCCAAAAGCACACTGAGGTTACTTGGCATTAACAAGTTGCCCATAGGTATGCATATGTGAATGGTGTGTGATGGATTGGCACCCCATCCTGGCTTGTTCCCTGCCTTACCTGCATCCAGGATAGGCTCCGGACCCCCCATGACCCTGAATAGGATAAGGTTGCAGAAAATGGATGGATGGTATCTGGGTAATACTGTCACCTAAATTGCCCGGAGTTTGGGATTGGATTCCTGGCCCTGGATTTTGTGTGTTCTCCCTATGTTGTGGGGTTTCCTCCAACAGCCTATAGGCAAACAAGTACCTGTACATAGCCCAATTAAATTGCCCATTGTATGTGATTGCAAGTGAATATGTATTTGTTTCTGTGTGATTGACTGATATCCCAAAGTTCTAGGGTGTATCTCCCCTTGTACTCTATGCTGCAGGGTAGATGGATGGATGGTGTTGGAAGTGTTTGACTGAAAAGTTAGTTTTATAATCCAAAGTGTGCTGCTGTGTTGTGCAAGGACGTGTTTACATTGTAAAAGTAATCATCACAACACTAAAGTTATAACAACTAATAATATTAAAGATTAATTGGGGAAAAAAAACACTCTTCAACCTTCTATACCCAGGATTAGTGTATATGATGAGTTACTTTTTCTATAGAATCTGAGACAGCCTTAATGAAGTAGTAAGCATAATTGTTCTCTAAGGGACTGGGGGTTAAAACAGATGGTGAAACCTAAAGGCATTATATAACTGCACTTTCTAAACATGACTGAAGGTAATTAAGCAGTCAGAGGAGACTTCTTAGGATGAATCTGGGGCTTTGATAGCTAAAGTACAAAATGTTTGCACACATTGTCTGGCTTCTGCTGAGTGGTAAAAGCTACATGAATTATTTTGACACATTGTCAGCCAATAATTTAGCTGCTTTATGTATTTTTCTACATCTGTTTTGCAAAACAAAAGTAAAGAAATATAAGGTCTTTTTCACAGCTGAATGCATTATAGGGAATACTTTTTTGGGTGATCTCATACTTAATCAGTTAATCTGTCATTTCGATATTCCTTTGTGAAAAGACAGCTGTGCCCTATCTGCAAGCCAGTTAGTGTGTAGAATGTTGAGCCATAAAACTGCTTTGCTGATTTCCATTGGCAGGTTAAAGCAATAATACAATTACAATACACATAAGACCAAATCTCAGGATTTTCATTTTCGTGTATTGGCCGAACAAAAGCTTATAAACTGACAGGACTAATATTGGGTCAGATCATATTTTAACCATTTGTGGGGTGAGTTCTCCTGGGAGACAGTGGAGTCCTAGCTGAACTAATAGCATAGCTCGAAGTTTACTCCCCATGCAATTAAAAACAGATCAATATGTCCTGACAAAGGAGATGCAGCCTGCTGCTGACAAGCTATGCAGCCCCAGTGATTCAGAAGGCAGAAGTCTCAACCCTCAGCAACACAGCGTCCGCACCCTCACGGGAAACTCAGCAGTTACCTCATGTCCTGAGAAATTAAAGAAGCAATTTCATTTTTTTACATGTTACCAGAGGGACCTGCCAGGGCGCAAACATACAAATAAGTGGATAGCTCATGCATTTTATGTTAGAGGCGGTCATAATGCCAGGCTCCATGTGTTTTTAAAGATGATTTTCACATGTATTATACAGCCGATGAAGTTTTATTTATCATTTATTCTGGGATGATAAAAAAAAATCAGGAAATATTGTATCAAATTGTATATATGCAAATTATTATAATTGTATTACTCCTGTCATGGATTTTAAAATGATGTACACCTGAATATGTACCAAAATAATTGAGATACCTGAAATTTGCAATACCACTGCCTGTTGGGGTTTTAAAAGTTTATTTATTGTCCCCTTGAGTCACAGGTTGAGGTTTGATAATTAAGGAGCCTTGAGAGCCAGATGGTTTATGCAACAGAACTACTTGTTTTGGACGGAGGACACGGACCATGAAGGGGAACTGGCAGACAATTGGTGCTCTCACTCCTGCGGGGGAATATATCGTGCCAACAAAGGGAAAATGCGTCTGTCTACTTTACTCTTTATTATTATTATTATTATTGTTGTTGATATTGTTGTTGTTGATGTTGTGGTTTTGGCTTTGGTTCTTGTTGTGGTTGTTCTTCAAGGCTCCAATAAAAAGCTCAGGTCATACTGTAGGTAAAGGGCATCCTGGACAGACCAGTACAGCTTAAATAGGATACTGTACATACAAATCAAAAGCAAGACTTGGAAAAATGCTTCACACTGTTTATTTGTAAAAAGGTCTGCATATGTCTGTTCTGGGAAGTCACACATGCAGCCCATGATGAGCATAGACACACAGATAGCCTTTCCAAGCTGACAGCGGTGGTGAAGCACTGACATAATGTGTTGAATAAGTCTTTCTCTCTGGGGCCGCTGAATGCCAGTGATGGCACTTTGAGTAAAGAAAGCACCAGAGTCCTAGTTAATGGCCCTACTGGTGCGTGGCACCATGTCACAGCATAGAATGGGACACCAAGGCGCCTAATCTGTGTTTAGGCCAGGAAAAGTAGCTCACGGTGTGTGTGTGTGTGTGTGTGCATGTGCATATATATATATATATACATATACAGTCAGGGAAAAAATTATTTGAACCCCTGCTGATTTTGTAAGTTTGCCCACTAACAAAGAAATGATCAGTCTATAATTGCAATGGTAGGTTTATTTGAACAATGGGAGACAGAACAATAACAAAAGAATCCAGAAAAATGCATTTCAAAAAAGTTATAAATTAATTTGCATTTTCATGAATGA